GCATATTTAATAAATAAAAAACGTAATTTAATAAATGCAAAGCGCAAAACTACATTTAGTGGAAAGAACTAAAAATGATCAAATTAAGTGTATTTCAAAGAAAACTAAGTAATTTCCTATGCTCCTTTAACAAGATACGTTTATTATATTTCTATTTGTAAAATTCATGATTCGAAGTTTTTTTTACAGAAGATTTTGTAATTCAATGTAATATTTTAGAAATATAAAGCTTTAAAATTTTCTTTCTCTTCCAATATATTAAAATATACTGCCATTTTTAATAGAATCTATGATACTATTATCTATCTTCTTGTTATTTAGCATACATTAATGACTTTAGTTCAAATCAATTTTATAATGTAAAAGTAATTTACATAGTTAAAACATAAAATTATAATCGTAAGACTGTTAACAGAAAAATTTGACAATTCGTGTGAAATCTGTGTTACATCATTTTGATTAAATTCAATAGTATTTTTAATTAGATCTTATTAGTAATTAAAATAATACTTAAAATATATTCATCAAAACTAAATTAATCAATGAAGGAAAATAACAGCTACCTTTAAAATAACATCATAAATTATTTATAAATTAATTTTAATATCTATTAGATTCTTATTTTTAAAACTTCAATAACAAAAATATTTCTTAATCTTCTCTATGAAAATAACAGAATTTAAATGTTTTAAAATTTCAACAATAAAGGTAAATATATTTAAAATTGAAGAATAAACAAAAGTCTCAATGTATTATTTTCTAAATATATAATTAAATTTTCAAATGAATTGTTTGCTGAAGTATAATATACTACTGTTGGTTTCGTAAGCACTGAATCAGTAATTTTATATTCATCGAAGAAAATAATTCTATTAATATTCGTAAATATTACAAAATATGGTCAGTATATGATTTTTTAATGTTATGAATATTCAAAAATTTAATAGATTGTTTAAAATATAATTCCACATTTGATTTTCAATTCCAATAGTAGTTGCTGTATTAAGAAAATCTATATATTTTGAATATGCATAATATAATATATAGGATTTATATATAGAATAGAATATAGAGGAATTGTTAACTATGAAGAAGTAGTAATTACATTGCTTCGTTAAAAAATTATTAACTTTGTGAAAAGTTGAAAGTTTTAACGAAGATTTATTTTCGATTTTAACGTTTCTGTTCCATTTAAGCAGTGGGGGCTGCAACCTTATATTCGATGACCCGAGAAGGTTTCTGTTGAACGGCACAAGGAGATAACTGGAATAAGGGATTAAAATAACATAGAATTACATTTTTACGAGTACAGTCGCAAAGAAACTGAATAGAACGTTGTATCGTTACGAATCTCATGAAATAAAAAAGGGAAAGAAAGGTCGTCAATATTATGTAGGCCAAAGCGTTCTTAGATATCTTTATTGGATTCGTTAGTTTAGAAAAAAGTTTCAGATATATAATATTTGAATTAATAATAATTATTTTAAGTTTTTAGTATAAAATTAATGCTTCATTTTCCGCAATCATAAAGATAACATATTTTAATTGCACTTATAATTATATAATAATAAATAAAAATAACTATATAGTATAAATTACAAATCAATTAACTAATATTTGGAACTCACTGCAGCGTTAATTATATGTAAAATATAATATTATAAACAATTTAAATGCAGAGAACTTTGAAGTGTATATAATCGATCAGAAAGTGTTAAAGAAAGCGGCTTAAGCAACAACGAAAGAGTAGAGTCCTGACCTGTTAAGTAACGTAGCTAACCGAAGAATGGAAAGCAAGGAGATGAGACATTTATAACTAAGTAGCTTTCAAGTATTCGTGAAAAAGCTATGTGGGAGATGTTGAGTAGGTAGACCACGTGCCAAGTGAACGCAGGAATATATGAGTAACATGAGAAACCCAGAGGCCGTGCCAACACCGACAATTTCGTGCGCAGACATTGCACACTGAGTATCTTCATTATGTCCAACAATACTAGTGGACATCTGCCTCAAGTGGATGCAGAAGTCGCTTTGCTTCGACAACATCAGAAGAAGCTCGAGCCGCTGCTCCTAATTAAGCAGAGCAACTCCAAAGGCTGCTGAAAGAAGATCTACGAACAATGGTGAATCGAAAATGGAGCGAATTGTTCAAATTCAAAGAACTTTCGCGGAATATTTAAGAGATACTGCAGCTACAAAAGCTATAACCGAAGAATGTCCTGGATCAGCTCTGAAAAAACTTTTATACATTTGCGAGATCGCTGAGCTCGATAAAAGTTAGGGTTCCTCGAACCAGAGGTAACGCTAATGGTACTCGTCCCCAGCAAATAAATAAATAAAGAACTGAGAGAATTCCAATGTGCCACGCTGTTTGTCAAACTGCGTATGATCTTCTTGGCGCAAATGTCGGCAACTCCACATGCTCCCTAATGTGATTCAATGCATATTGCTGTGAACGCAGGTCGGAAAAATTCGTTTGAGTTGCCCAAAACAGCAATTACATCTGTTATTTGCACTTTTTCTTCGTTTTATTACTCTATTCCTCTTACATAAGCACTTTCGAATTGTAAATAATTCTTATAAAAATCATTCTTTTTTTTTGGCAGTTATAATTAATCGATTACTTTAATTATATTTATTTGCCAACATGTATTAAAATTTTTAAAAAAATTTACGTCTACTTTATATTAATGTACTTTGGAACTTCTCTTAAGAAATATATGGTCGATGGCTAATTTTCAAGGTTGGAATGAAAGAAAAATACAAGTCTACAATGCAAATTATTTTTGTAATTAAGTATAATAATTTAAAGCAAAATTATCTACAAAAAATATAATACATTAAGTGTAACTTATTAACATTATCTTTATAAAATAATATAAAGTACTTTTGAATAATGAGCACTAGAGAAATAATTGTAAGAGTAAATCAAAGATTATATTTTTTAAAACCTAAACACACTTATAACCGATAAATACAAGAATATAATAAAATTGAAATTATTTTTGAAAAATACTTGATATATCATCGGAAATAATATATTTGTATAATTAAATTTGTATAGTTAAAATATAAATGTATACTTTAATTTTGATTATTCAAATTACGTACTCTATTTATCTTTGTGTATTATTAAATTTTGAAAAACATAGAATAATATGAGATTAATAAAGACATAATATTTTACAGACAATCATATAATATGTTGCGATGCCACCAACGATACAGAAAATTTGATAATATTCGTTATGATATGTAAGGTGCAGCGTTTAATCCTTAATATTAACCTACAACTTCTAAAGGAAGAAATAATATCAAAGAAATAAACAAATAATTTTAATTTAGTGTGTAAACAATCGATGTTTTATCAGAGCATATTTTCAATGTTTTTTTTTTTAATTTATTATCCTTAAGTGATCTGTTTTGAGAAAATACAATTCTATATAATTGTAACTAATTTTATACTTTACTTAAAGCTTTTATATTTTGACATAAAGGTCTATGTTGTAATTAATAATAAATAATAAAATTTATAGCACAAACAGAATTAGTGAAAGTTAAAAAATTGAATTAAATAATTCGTATAGAATTTTATTACAATTAACATCCAGTTATTAACAATTATAATATATATATATATATATATATATTTGATAGTAGATACATAAGCAAATTTTTCTTTTTAACATTTCTTTCTGAATTCATTAATATTTATATCAAGTTAATATTATGTTTTATATAGAAAATTAAAATAAACAATAGAGTAAAATATCATCATGTTCTATCTGTTCGTTTCATAGTATACATTTTAATGGTTAAATAATATTTAAGTATTAATAAAGTTGGTAGACTATATTGCAATATTTTTATTTTTACGTAAAGGATTCTTAAATATTATTTCTCTCAAACTAACTAGTAAATAATAATTAAACTATTCACATAACTATAAATACAATAGCAAAGATTAGAAAAATATAATTACAATTATTATTCGTTATAATCAAAATTTTTTTTTAATAAAACAATATTTCAATAGAGTATAGAGTCTTAACACATAAAGTATTCATAAAGAGAAATTATAATATGAAAAAGTAAATAACCAATTTGATGAAATTATTACTACATCCTATAGAATAAGTACATTGAATATAAAATCTAAGCATCAAATAAATAATGCGATTGATCAGAGATTACATTGTAATTGATCTTGTTAAATAAGAATAGACGTATTCAATGGAATTTTTTAAGGCGACAAAAAATTAATTTATACTTCTTTCACTTTGTATTGGAATGTTGAAGATTTGTCTGACTAACCATACAATATCCTATGAATATAATAGAACTTGTTAATTAAGAATTTTAAACAAAATAAGTAAATCATTTAATTGCGGCTGTTCAAATCAAGATACATTATTTGATAGGTAACTTAATAATTAATAACAATTAAAGGTCAGTTATTGATTATCATAAAATAAATTTATTGTGTAAAATAATATTAATTCTATTGAATGGCATATAATAAACCCTTGTTTAGTAACTCAGTAAATATGACAGAATAACGTATAAAAAGATATTTTATATTTAAAATAGTCAATATATTTAAAATAATAATATTTATCTTATGTATATATTTAATTTTAGATAAGTTTTACATAATTTATGTCTTATCACTTTAGAATAATGTAGATGACGTATGTTATATATATATATATATATATATTTTCTTTTTTTTTGTTAATTCAATTATATAAAAATTAATAAATATTTTTATACTAATTTTGTATAATCAGTAAAATCAAATAAAAATTGTTTATCATAATTTGTACAATACATATGACATGTATAATAATATGTAGTCAGTATATTAAAAGAACAGTAGAATAACCAAATTAAATCACAATTTATAAAATTAGGCTCGTTTATTTTCATTTATAAATCTATAAAATCAGTGTGACAATTTTGTTATTTTTGAGATCTTGGATTAATCCGATTACCTAAAGAACAATTTGAAATATGAATTTCCTTATTCTCAATAGTAAGTGAATTATTTAAATTCGAATTTTCTTTATTATCAAATTATATATATATATATATATATATATTATTGTCTTCAATTAAATATATTTTATCATACAAACAGTAATCTACAATATTAATATTAAAATTAAACTAAAAAATTTATATTTGAAAGTACTTTAGAAATTACTTTACACAAAACTTTCTTACTATTTATTAGAATGTATTAAAAGTAATATTACCAAAAATTATCCATTTATGTGATTTCTTATAAAAAATCTAATTAGTATATTAAATATCAATTTTCATTTATTAAGTTCTATCGAATTAAACAAAATGTTTTTAGTATTTTTAGTACTTATGATGGTATTAAATGTATTTGCACAAGTAACGACTGAAGCACCTTGCAAGTGCCGAAGAATTATTGAATGGCATCCAGTATGTGGAACAGACGGAATTACATATGCGAATCCAATGGAATTGATATGCAAAAATTTTTGCTTTGGAACAAGTTAGTGATTATTTAATTTATATCTCACCATTTTGTATAATAAAGGAATATATTAGGGTATTTTACTATCTATTCAATCATTGAAATTAAAAAAAAAAAAATTTAGAAGAATTGTAAATTACTTAATCAATACTATTATTTTAATTACATTTTTAATTATAAGTTTTTGCAACTAACATGTAGACAATTTTAAATGTCATGTAGTAGTAAAAGTTACATACTTTCAACTCCCTAATAATATATATATATATATTTATCAATTATTCTTATAATTCCGAGGTTCAAACTTTATTAAATATTATTATCAAGAGTTTATTTTAAATTTCCAAGATCTATCTAATTAATCTAGATCTCTGTAAGTTATTTACGTTTCCCAATAATAAGATCTTTTCTATTATCTGGTATTCAAATTTTAAACTAAGATATTAGTTTTATGGCATATTTTTTAATTAACTACATAAATATATAAGGTCAAAGATTAAAAAGATTTTATTAGTACATTTTGGAAATAAATAATGCATACAAGTTTATACATTTTTAACAAGCTTCAAGTAAAATCACATTAACACTTCACGTATGAAATTTATTTAAAAGCAATCGTTTTCTACATTAATAAACATTCACGTACCAAATCACACATTCAATTGTAAATATATAAATTATTTTAGCTATTATATCAAACACAAAAATCAATATATTGTTGTCATACAAATATTTTAATTACACACAATATTTTATTACTGAATTTTCATTTTTATTAGATATCAAGATCGCGTATAAAGGAGTATGCAGAGGAGACTTAACAACAACAAATAATCCTGTGATTAATTAATTAAATAAATGTTCGTTATTATAGAAGAATAATTTTACTGGCAATTCGTTTTATTGGAATTATAATTGTAATTTTATATTTATAATAAGCCAATAAATATTAAATGATTTATCTTACAAATGTTATTCTTTTTACTAAAATTAGTAGAATTTTATATTTTATAAATAGCTAAGTATTATAAAATATATTAGTAAATATCTTAAATTAAAAATAAATAATTTTCATTTCGATAGTAGAAAAAGGTTTATTGTTGTATTCCTATTAATTTCACTGATTTATATGTCATTAGAAATGTCACAGCGATGTATGAATTAAGATAGTGACAAAATTATGAATTAACATAGTGACAAAATTATGAATTAACATAGTTACAAAATAATGCACGTCAATAGTGTATACTAATTTGTTCATTGTGTTGTAACTTTATTATTTATCTTTATCATTTACTAGTTTTATGTTATTTTCTAAAATTATAAATTGTATAATATAATTGTAAAATTCTGTTACTACTTTGTGAAAATAAATAGAATAATATATGTAACAAACGATAGTTTAAAGTACGTACTGCTTAATGCATTATAGTACTATATACTTGATATATATTTATATTGTTACATAAATTGATATATTAATTACAAAAAAAAAGTGTTATAGAATTTCTAATATAAATTTTCATGTAAATTTTCATTTTTTAAATTATATTTTAGTAAAATAGAGATGCTGATCATTGACCAGAATATCTTATTCATTCATATGAATGATTCGTATTTCGGCGTAACATAAATATAAATCGGCATAGTGTTATATTCAACTTGAAGGTGAACAAATAATTTGGTGTCGTCTTTATTGGTACTGTTATAATAAGTCTTTCATGACCTTGATGGTATTGGTGCACACACTGATCTCAAAACCATGAATTCTCTTGCTTAATTTTTATTTTTTTTCAACGTTCCTTAGCGTTTATGATTAAATCAACATTTAGTGTATAACTCTACATTATTGATGAATTCATGTAAATAATTACAAAGCATCGCCTATACAATATCAGATAAAGTATGATAGTTCTCCTTTTCATATATTTCTAAATTTTGTATTTATAAAATACAGTTGTATACTATTTTAAAGTAAATTGTTTATAGAATTCTATATAACAGTTTACATTGTATCTATATTTCGAAATCTTATTTAAGTTAATACATATCATCGAATAATATATTAATAATTATTTTGAATTTAATTCTTGTTCATCATTAGCATTTTATTTGATAAAACACTAAGTTTTAAACATAATATTTTACTTAAAAAGATTGCAATTTATTATAAAGATTTATTTTCATTAATTTTATAACTGAAAACTGTATTAAATTGTTTATTTCCATATAAATATATTTTTTAATTATTTTTGTATATAGTATATTCTGTTGCATATAGTACATTCTGCTTTATTCTACATTATTTTATATTCTACAATAAACAAAGAATATTAATATTATACAAACGTATGTATTTATAGTTTTTTTATATATTCGCTATTTATAAATTGATTCAAATTCTAAGTGAAACATTATAAATCCTTAATACAATATTAATACACCCACACAATTACTATGATATATTCACAAAGAGACGAACGACTGGGTATTTTTAAATAAATAAATTGAAATATTAAATTTAAATATATTTATATATTGTATTGAATATTCAATATATTTGTATGTATTATCAATTAAGATTGTCATTAATAAAAAAAAAAATTATTTTAATATTTTAATAATCATAATGCAAGAATAAATTTCAAGTTTTAAATATGATCACACAAGAATTATCATATGCTACTATTAATTCAAGCAGACTTTATTATTCATTAAATTATTGTATACTTATCTTATATTCATATTCTATATGATATGTTAATACTACATTCATTAAGTAGATTTTACTTATATTCTATCTAAACTTTAAAAGCAACCATATTCAATGCGAAATTTTATATTTATCTAAAAAGTTTATATAATTTACCATATTTGATTTTTGTCTAAGTGGCAACTATAATAATAGGATATATATGAAATTATCTACACTGTTTGTATAATTTTTATCATTTTCAAAATTCTAATGGCGTTATTTAATTATTAAAGATTAATAAAATAATGAAAAATATCTCTATCTATATAAGATTTAGAAATTAAATTTTTAATTATATAAATATACATAATTAATTATATAAAATTAATTATATATTCATTAAAATATTATAAATTTTTAATGCGACTCTGAATGTAAATTCTAATTTGTTCCAGATCTACCGCTGCGTATCCAACGTCTCCTATAATCTCACTATATTCTTATTCACTTTCCTCTCTTTGTCTGCTATGTATAATCGGTTCCTTTAATTTTGTTCTTAATATTTTCAGAAAATTGAAACTTTTTACACAATCTACTATAGAATTTACTTACAAGAAATTGCGTTTCTTGCAATTTATATATATATATATATATATATATATATATATATGCAATTATATTGAAATATTAAATTAAAATTATACTGACTATTTAATATACAATATGCTGAATGACCTCTTCATATATAACTATCTATATAATAATATTTAGTAACTCATAAATGAACGTATAATTAGATTAATTTTTTTGTAAACCACTGTAATATTGATATCCGAAGAATTCGAAAATTATTTTGTTTTCTGTATATTTTACAGGCTATCCATATAATTCGATAATTCGTCGATTTTCATCTTACCAATATTAAAGTAGAAGTAAAAATATAATTAATTTGAATAGAAATCTATATTTGCTATATAATATGTACTAGATTAATAAATTAAATTTTACAAGTTTTAATGAAACTTATCATTTCCCAATATTTGTCTCTAAATACAATATTAGGCAGTAAAAAATAGTATTTACTGCATATTAATATAATTTATATGCAGGATTTTATGATTAGATACATTAGCATTCTAATAATATATTGTGATTATATAATGATAGAAAAACATAAAAGAAAATTGATTGAAATTTATTGTTATAAATAACTTTATTAATATTACATGTTTAAATTAGTATTATTCATTAACAGTAAAAATTCTTTTCATGACACTTCTGTAGAATAAGTATGATTGTATGATATAATAATTTTCTAGTCGTCCTAAACAATTATTTTTAAAAACATTCATTTGGTTTTTTTATAGGAATTTTTAATATTTATTGATAATACGTAGATCCGGTATAAAAATTCAGATTTTAATATTAATATAATAATAATTTAATGCTAATACATTAATGTCGCTATGTCCGATGGTAAATAATCAATATTTACAATCAGATCATACTCAAATACCTAATGATTCCTAATGAAAATGAATATCACACTTACTTTTCAAGCCCCCAGTCAAATATTTATGTTCAACTTTCCATGCTTTATGATGTAATTAAATATTATCATAATTATTTCTTATTTCTATTTTTAATATTATTTTTAAGATATATAATATATAGATTTAATACAAAATGGTACATTTTTTGGATGAAGAACATTACGAGTTACGTATTAGTAGCTGTACATTAAGCATTTTTGTCTCTGATATATTAATATATGTTTGTTAGAATATAAATCTTATTCGAAATACTACAATTACGTACCTTATTAGATAATTATAGGTATTATACATCAGATAATTTTAACTGGATATATAATTCTATATATAAAATGTTTACATTTCACACAATATATATCAAAATAATTTATACCTTTTATTCCAGTAACTTATATTTAATCACATTATTTATTACAAGTTTCTTAATTTGGCGATTCTATTTTAGGGTGAACGTATTTACTTAAATAAGCGATTTCCATGTCTATAAAAATTATTATTCTGATCTAAGAGTATATTTTGTATTATGGTAGATTTCAATAATAAAAAAAAAATGTTTATGCCTCTTATACCTTTCCAAAACCTTTTAACAACCATTTATTTTAGTTGATTTTTATTTGTATTTGAAGTTATGAGTTAAAACTGTAGATAAAAATATACAATTTGAAAGTTAACTAAGTTATAGTTTTATAGATCACTGAATAATATCTACATGGATTTAGCCAATAAAACTAAAAAAAAAAAAAATAGAATAAAATATATATATCCACTTGTTAGAGCATTTTATATACTTATTATGCTTATTTTCATTAAAAGAATTTGGTTTAATGTAATCTATTACAATTAATAAATATAGAAAAGAATATATTTTTAGAATTTTGTATATTTAAATTTCTAATATTAAAATTTTCAATAACAGGAGAAAAACATATTTCTACATACGTATATATGTTTCAATTAATAATAATTTCCAAATCACATTGCAAAAATACATAATACAATACAAATACTTATTTATATTATAACAATAAATAGTGCCAAGTTAATTAAAATTACAAAATATTATTAAGTATAACAAATTTGTTTGTATAATGCAATACAGCATATTTGTGCTTAATATTTATTCCATAAAAAAGTTTTATGTCTATTTGATTTTTTTTTAATTTAACAAAAATAGATATTATTATAGTCAGCGCTTTGTTAATTATAATGTTATGAATAAATTGGATAAATTAGTCAAAACTATGAATAAATAATACAAATGTGAGTAATATATATATATATATATATATATATATATATATATATATATACATATATTAATATTTAAAACTGGAATGTTAATAATTAAAAATAAATGAATAAATAAATACATTCATTAATCAATAAAAATTTGAATTTGAACAATAAATAATAAATAACTATATTATTTACCTCTATAATAAATTGCGAAATAAGGAATAGATACTGATATTTTGCAAAATGTAATTATACTTTATAAAAACTTCGAATTTATTTTACATTTTTGATATTTAGCTAACCCATTAATAAAAACTTAGTACTATTTGATTCAAACCATATATAATCTGTTTAATTGAATGTAATTTAATTTATAATGTAATTTCAGACATTTCAATATTGAATATTGAAAAAATTTCTATTTTTTATGAAATTTATTATGAAAAAGAAAAATTTACTTATTGTAATGAAAAAATGAAAACTAATTTTAAGCTCATTGTATGAAAGATAGATTATTCACCTAAAATATATTATAATATTACTGGAAAATTTAAAATTGTACATTAAAATCCACATCATTTCAAAATAACAATTGATAAATCGAATTGTAAGAAAGGGGTTTTTATTAAATTTTACGCAAATATAATGTAGTTAAATATAAAGCACAGCTTTTTAAAAAATCTTTCATAAGTTTTATTTAGGTTTTTACTTGTATCTAATTCTTCTATTATATATTCTATGTATATTCTAAGGAATACAATGAAGATGAATAATTACTAACTTTTTCTGTAACATTTTTTTATGTTTACACAAGCCATTATGTTACTATAAGTTTTTCCAAAGTTTACACAAATAGGTTTTCACAAAATATGAGATAAAAAAAATACTATAATAATTTTTAAAAACATATTAATACATATAAGATAATCGTTCATGACAACCTTATATTTATTAATTAAAAAGAAATGTAATTCAAGGAAAATTTGTCATTTCTCATTTTATGAAGAATTATCATCATATTCTAAAAAATTAAGTTTACTTTGATTAAAATGAAATAAATTTTTATCGAATAAATATTTGTTATAATTATAACGTATTATTGTAATTTAATTAATTGTAAAATAAAATAAATTGTAAAGTATATATATATATATATATATATATATATATATATATATATATATATCTAAAAATTATCATAATTCGTTTCTTTATTCACTCATTTACTCTTATTAATGACAAAATAATAAGTAAGATTTAATTATCACATGTAATGCATAAATATTTATTAACATATAATATAATATTTTTATTTCAATTAATACATGTGTAATATTTCAATAACTAAAAACTAAAAAACTAATTGAACAAATATTGTATTAACTTTTTTACTTAAAATATATAAAGTTTTTTACTCGTTAAAATTTTAATAAAGATAAAACGATTCCATTTTGTTAACAAGAATTTTATAGTCATAATTAATAATGATGTTAATTTATTATCAGGTGAGGTTATAAGAAGGTTAAGCATATTTACATTATACAAGTATATTCTTATATTTACGGTTAAGTATATTTATATTATACAAGTATATCTGTATTATACAATCCATTTTTGCTTAAAAAGATTTTAATATTTATATATATCAAAATCAAAACTGTTGTCTTTATTTATTGTCTTTTAATATTCTTTTCAATACGTACATTAAAATTATGCAGTAACATAAACATATAATAATTTTAATACGAAAAAAAATTATTAAAAATGATGAAAACAGCTGTATAAAATTATAATAGTTTCTTAATGTATTTGTAATCAAAATTAGAAAATTGAAAATTTTACATTTTACACAAATTTTACATAAAAGAAAATTTTACACAAATACGTAATAATGAAAATATGAAAATTGTTATACAAGAATAAAATAGAATAAAATGTACACTGCTTCTAGCGTTCATTAAAACGACAATTTGTACCCCATGTGATTTTTGTAAAGCAATATTTAAATTAAATTTTATCAAAGTCAATATTTTAAACTCAAAATTATTGAATAAAAATAATAGAAATAATGATAAGAGAGTCAGAATTCTTCGACAAAAACTTAATAGTCAATCATCCCTATTACAACAAATGAGACTTCCGACATTGCTATTAAATTACTTATATACTAAAATATGTTTTCAAATATAAGATTATAGTTATTTTATTATAATTAAATGACTGAGACAATGTATGCAGTATATTAATAATTATGGATTACTTATTTAATTTACATAGTATAAGTGTATATTTTTTTTATTTTCCGTTTTGATTTACGAAAGATTCACTATATGTATTATTCAATTATTAATTATTTGTTGCATAATTTAACATATTTCCATATACCTAACAGTATTCTGAATATGTAAAATTACTGATCTCACATCAATTTGAATCTGTATATAACAAAACAAGGATTATAAAATAATAATAAATATTATTATTATTTTAAGATATTTTTCTAATTACGATCAAGTTTCTCTAAATATTTCGAATAAAACATTATCAGTAATGTTAGTTATATCAATGAAAGTTTATGAAATTATCTGATTTTATTATAGAAATATGGTAATATAATTTTACTTAAGTAGACAAATAATCGTTTTATCGAAAAATTTCAAATATTGAATTCTCGGAAAGTATTATGATTTATAATATATAAATTCATAATATATTATTATCAATTAACAGCAGCAGATTATAAATTATTAATGCCAATGATTATATGTATTTGACAGATTAATAATATTAAATATAAACATCAAAAGCAAGCATTTCCAAAATGTCAATTTCATATTTTTATATAAATTATGATATTCAAAAATGATTCTCTATATTATTATATAGTTATTTTTTTAATAATACAAAGCAAATTTATCATGCTATAGCAGGTCATGTTTGGAATTATAATAAAAAATAACTGAATTTACCTTTGTCTTTTATTACATGTAGAATAACATGTAGAATTATTTATCGAGAATAAAAAAGATTTCATAAAAATAAAGTACACACTTACTCAAAATTATTTTAAATTTGAAAATTTTTTTAAACCACTATAAATTATTCTCTTTATTAGTAGGATTATTAGATTAAAATGTCTCTGATGTTCATTTACTTAGATAAAAACAAAAACAGTCAACTTATCATCAGAATAACCTATTAATAGTAAATAAATAATTATTTTACGAAGTCTATTATACTACAGTTTCCTTAGATATAAAAATAACACTGATAAAATAAGATTTCTAATTAAGTTATCTATTTGTGTTTAAAAAAAAGATTGTTTTAAGAAAAATAATTTTTAGTTTAAACTCACTCACTTTTCACACTACTTGAATAATAGCAATTTATTTAAAATTTGTTAACAAAACATAATATATATACATATATATATTTACTTTTAATACCAATACTTGTACATTATAGTACTTAATTATTGTGAAATGTGAAAATATTTGAAGATATATGATAAATATATGAATTAAATTTTTAACTGAAAATTAAAATATAATAATGATAAATAGCATATATAAAATGTGAAAAAAATATATATTATAATTATAAAACGCTAACTTTCAATACATAATTGCATCCAAAGAAAAAATAAGCGCAGTGAAAATTCAAGAAGGAAATTATAGTAATTTATAGACATTTATTATTAAATTTATTTTGTGGAATTTATAGTGTATTTGAAAATTTATAAAATTTTTAATCTTTATTAAAACATGAATTATCTCCGATTTAAGGATTCTCTATTATGGATGTAATTGTTACTTCTTCAAATCTAAATATTCTGTTACATAATACAATCGTGCATTTTCCGCTTTTCTTTGAATTATCCTTTTTCTTCGATCTGAACTTTTCATATGCAAATATAAAAATCAATTCGTAACTTGTATACCTTTAAATATTTTCATACACAATATTGAAGTTAATAAAACAAAATTAATAAAATGTAATATTCTATATAACGGTATAACAGTTATTTTATATAAAATAAAGTTAATGTGTAGTTGCTTAATGCCAAAATATAGTAGTGTCCATATATATATATATATATATATATATGGAATATATATATATAATTTCACATCTGTTATTTAATTCTTCATGATAATAGATTTCCAGGTGGTTGAATTCGTGGGCATACACCTGTATGTAATATTCTCACATCTACAAATATATAAATATTCATAAATCAAACTTTATTTTATATGAATGCATATTTTATAGCTATAATAATATAATATTACTAATTAAAATCAATGTTATTCGTTATTATATAAAAGTTCATTGTTCTCATAAACTATATTCAAGCTTCGAACCTAATATAGTAATATTTATTTAAGACTCCCAATACCAACAGATATAAAGTTGATATTTTAAATTGGAATGGACCTACTGAAATATATGATTAATATATTCAAATAATGACAAAAATTGAGAAATGTGTCTGAAATATAATTTCATAATTCTATTATTTTCATAAATTCAAAGAAATTAATAGATATTTAAATACTATAAAAATATTATCATTATGTAATAGTTCCATCAGTAAAAATGAAGATATAATTAATTAATTTATCGTAAAGCCCCTTCTAGTGGACTAAACAAACATTTTATTTCAATGTTGTTAGAATAATAAATAATTCTTTATGTACATTTTTTATCGTTATAAATTCAAGTATAATTTCATAATACAAATCAAACACATTCACATAGATCCATTCGAATTTAAATTTAATTTATAAAAATGTTTGATAAAATTGAAAGTATTTTTTGTATATGCAATAATAAGATACATTTTAAATATAATTAATACTTTTTATTCTGCAGATAGTTACCAACAGTGAACTTTTATTAAAAATTGTAATAAGATATTCATACTTTGTTTGCATTAGGCAAAACTAATACTCACTTGCTTTGTTGCATTTATTATAGCACTTCAAGTTTATTTTATGAGAGAATGTTTTTCCATCACTGGCACATACTGGGGCCCAATCATTGGTCCAATTGCATTTACAAGGTTTGTCATTTTTACCTGACTGCACACTTACGCTCATAAAATACACTAAAAGGACTGCATAAAAAAATAATATGAAAGTAAAAAATTTTATTAGGTTGACAATCCAGTTTTGTGAAAACAATAAAAATGTTATTTGAAAATTCATTATTTACTTACTGATAAAACTGACGTTTACTATTTTAATCATTGTAATTTTTTCTTTTAATTTTGATGGTTCAGTAAACTGTTAGTTTCGATGTAAATAATCGCTACCTAAAATTTGTGAACAAAATTAAAAAATTACTTACTTATATACAAAGCTTTTTGATATTATCAAATTTATTTACTACAGGATTGAATGACGTGGTTTATCAACTGCACGCAAAGCAATAAGGAAAATCCTACATTTATCTTTATTAGAGTACTAATATATTTAATATTCAAACTTGTTTTTTTTGTTCGCTGTAACGATCTGAATTTGTAATACTATTTTCTACAAAATTTTTACTTTTTATAAGAATACACATTTGATAAAAGTGTATTACTTGTTAATTATTTATCAATAATTTCTTATAAATTATTATTAATGAAATAATATTATTGAAAAGAACATTAATCTCATATAATATTAATATTTGTAGATTTATGATTAATAAATTTTATTGTATTGGGATTTCATTCATTTAACTTCTAACTTGAAAAAATATTTATTGAAGCAAATTGATAAAATAATATCTAATTCACGGCCTTTTTATTTTATTTTATTTTTTTTAAATTAATGTATTATATATTAAAATTAGTATTGTATTCATATTAGAAAAATCAATACATACATACGAATTATCGAATTAATATTTTAAAAGATATTAAAACATACACCTTCAAGAAATTTCATGACTTTTAGATTGAAACATTTATTATTTAAATTGTATTTGGATAAAATAATTTCTTATCGATGTTTTTATGAAAATACAGTTAGATTTGAAATATATGAATTATTTTACATTTCTATAAGTAAACATGGTCAAATAAGGATTTAAATATACAATTGATCTATACCACTAACGAATAAATACTAAATGTAATATACTTGCATTCGCAATACTTTTATTAGCCATACGATTTTACTAATATTATATAAATATATATATTTTTTAAATTGAATAATAATATAAAATTAATAAAATTAAAAAATAATTTTATATAAAAATAACAATTTAAAGAAATACATATTTTAGTGAGGAATAATTTTATAATACTATCATTTTATGAAAATCAATTGGTTAATTATAATGAGTAAAATATTAATAATTATTTTATATAATTATTTTATATTATATTAAATGTTTATTTCATAATATTAAATGATTTAGAAATGAATTTTATTTTCTTTTAGTATATGTTTAAAGTCTATTAATAGATCGTTATAATCGATTAATAGTTAGTTTTCTTATTAATAATAAGATATTGATTATTCTATTCTTAAATAAAATATAAGAAATAATTAGTGATGATATAATTCTTTTAAGCCGTATATTAGCACAATAATTATACCATAGAAACAAAGAATTAAGTTATCACCATCGACTAAATATAAAATTTAAATTAACAATAAAGTCATTGTAATGAAACATAATGTCGTGAACGTTATAGAGTAATTAAAAATACGAAGCTACAATGATATAAATTATATTATAAAATGAGGAAAGATGTTAAAGTCTACGAAAGAAATTTTATTTACAGTTTTTAATGATGATCATTGCCTATCATAATCTATTATATTATTTTCTCTGCGTACATACAAATAATGCATAAATCTTGGAATTTTAACATCAAATAATTACTACCGATATCTGTTATATTTGGAGATACACACTTCGCGAAAAGTAACAATATTGCTTTTTATTTTTAAATTAATTGTACGAGGAATGGAAGAATAATGTTGATATCTGTACCACATGAAAAGTATTAATTATCATTGAAGGAAATATTGAACCAAGTATAATTGAAATTAATATAAAATTTAACAATCCATAAAATCATTATAATCATTGAAAATGTTTATGAATAAAATAATTGTTTTGAACTATTTCCTGAAACAATACGCCCGCTCATTAGCCACTGAAAATTAGACCTTTGATGGAATTTAAAAAATATTATACAAAAATACATGAAATTCAAATAGAGTGTGATAATGCATAAGATAATGACAATTTAAAATAATTTTAACAGTATTATACAGAATATTATAATGACTAATACCGTAATAAAAAAATGAATTAAAAATACTGATACATAATTTTAGATAAAAATACGAGTATTCTAATGTTAATATTTTCACATCAGTTATAATAATATCAGTTATATACAAATAATTTATATACAAATATTATAAATATCATTTATAAATTAAAATTAAAAAAATTGAACTAAAATATTAAAATAATCACGCAGGTAATTGAAAAAAAATTCTTTTGGAATAATATGATAAATATTTATAGGGAATAAAATTTAACAAAATATTATTAATTACTCTAGTGATGAACGGAGAAGTAAAATATCACTAAAAAATACAAATGAAATATAATTATTTTGTGATACTCTATGCATAAAAATTCTTTAATAATATAAATAAATACATGTGAATGATACATTATTATATGTAAATAAATGTAATATATATTCATAGAAACACCTAAATGAAATCGGAATGGAATAAAAAAATTATTTTATAAATTTTTGCTGGCGTTCCATTTAGATGTAATAAATTATAATATGCTTATTTATTAGTTATTGTTAATATTATAATAATTTGTTGCAAAGATAAAGTAATTATTTAATTTATATATTCTACTTAAATATTCTTTGGTAATTCGTAATTTAAATAAATATTTTATAATAAATATCTTTTACTTGTGATTTTAGATGTATTATATATTAAAGAAAAGCCAAATATCACTCTTTTCAAATTATTTTTTATAGATTACAAAATTTTGGGAAAAATATTACTTTTAAGTAAATACTACTTCTAAAAATGAAACTATAACTTTAATAAAATAAGTTTTCAAAGAAAATGGATAGTATAAATTCACATTAATAATATAATTTAAACTGTTAAATATAGAGAGTATTAAACTTATTATTACTCACGAGTTAATTATAACAATGTTCGTTTTAGAAGTCGCAAAAGATAATGAGATGCTCAGTAAAAAAAATTATAAATATAGTATAAATTATGATTAAAATAATGTATGTATAAAAAAGAATAATATTATATCGATTGATTGTAAGGTACAAAAGTAATATTTTAAATGATATGATAATATTGATATGGCACTCTTATCGAATTTCTTTTCATTAATTTTCTTATACATACACATGATTTTTTAATTAGCTAACTATCAATAGAAAATAATTAAAATATGTCTTTTCTACTTTACTTAATCAAATATATACTTAAATATTTTTAAATAATTTGAAATTTTTGTTCATCGCGAGTAAATGTTAGGAATTAGATATTTCATTTATATGTATAAAATGCAAACTTGAAAAGATTATTTAACAAGCATAAGAACATAATTATTAAGAATAATATTACTAAGTGAAAGTATATATATGTTAGAACTTTTAATCTTAATACATCGATTACTTACTTTAAATATATTTTATACATAGATGTTACATTAATTCATATAAAATTTTTTAGTAATATTAGTATAAATACGCTTTAGTCCAAAATTCATTTCACAAATTAAATTAAAGAGTATATTTTGAGTTTATTTGAAATTATAAAGAATTTTGTGTAAAAATTAGGAATTGATTTTCACTGTCACGTGGAAAATAAAAAATAATAACTATTATTTGAAATTATCTCTAAAATTATAAAATAATGCTAATTTGTCATCTTTACAACTTTCGGTATTGTTTATTGCATAACTGTTTTTGAGTTACATCGATATGAAATCGATACAACATCATCGATTGCTTTTCTATTTTATATAATCGAACGGCACGTTTATTACATTATTTAGAAAAATATTTACATTCCTCTTCATATTCGGAGAAACATATCATAAACTAGACACTAAATTATGTTACATATATATTAATATTTACAATGAATTTAAATAGTAAAATATTTTCTAAGTTTGTAAATGAATATAATGAAAGCAGTAAATTTAAATTTGTTTTTCGAAATTCTTTTACAATTTATAGTTGAATTCATATTTTTTTATTTTCATGTTTTATACACATTTTTCTACAAAATCTTATCATAACAATGGTAATAATCATAATTTTCATTTATTCAAAAGGAAATCTTTATCTTTTAATTTAATAAGAAAAAGTATATAGAAACTAATAACATGATATTATATGTAATTGATATGACTTAAACATTATCAAAATAGTTATTATTTTTTTAATTAATACAAATTAGGAAATAGAGTTTTCTTTATTATTCAACTTTCTTTTACAACTATTTCTTATCGATATCTTATTCTAGTAAAAATTGTGAAAACTACTATCTTATCTAATTAATCACACTATTTATTTAAATGGTCGCATACGTATAATATAAAAAATCATTATTATAGAGCCATGTAGAGCATTAATAAATTTTTTCTAAGAATTGTTTTAAACTTTGTATTAAATTTATTAGTTAAATCAATTTAAATACGGATTTGCATTAGCTTATATTATATAAAAATAAACTTAAAATTCATAAGCTTCGTTTGGAATTGATTACATTCGAATATTATTACATTCATAAGTTATATATATATATATATATATATATATATATATATATGAAAGTATACTTCTATGAAATTAAATATACATTTATAACCCTCGATATATTAGTATAGTAATCTCAACAAAAAAAAAAATTTCGTATAATTTATCCATAGCAAATAGTACTTTATTTTTTTTCAAAACTATTTGCTTAATAAAAATAGAGATAGCACTAACTGTGAATTATACGTATAATTCAGAAATTAATATTATATGCACAAAAATAAAATAAATAATATTTCTAAAGAGAATCTTATAATGTATTTAAATAATCATTTACAAATACAATTTATATGTTTGACATCTATTATAAATGTAAAAAAGTAGTCGAAAGATTGTTCGGCATAAGACTTATTCTGTTTAACTAACAATATATTTAAACATATTCGTATGATATTTCATGTGTGTACCTTCATGTGTAATGGCAACACTTAAGTGTAACTGCTTTACCTGTATTACAAATTTTTGAAAATATGTTCTGGAAGAAACTTATTTGTTGAATAATTAAAGAATATATTGAAAACTTTGACCTTCAATACTATCAGTATTTTTTTTTTTTTTTAGTTATATTTAGTGTGTATGTCGATAATTATAATCGATCTAAAATATTAAAAACTTTGTTTTATTTTTTTTTTT